GCGTGCTTGTTTTATTTGAGCCTCGGATGACTAACGATGCAGTGGCGTTCGTTAACTAAGGGCAGACTGCCTGGCTGCAGGCAGTGCGAGGCGGGGTGAGACTGCCGCGGCCGCGGAGGGCAGCGGGGGCGCGGGGTCAGGGGTCGCGGAGGCACGCCAAACAAAAATAAGAATCGTCTTGTGCAGTTCGGGTTTGACACGCCGGCCCAGCGAAGCCATGAGCGAGGCCCGGCCCGGCGAGTAGCTCACGGCGCGCCTATCTCGCTCCAAAATCAGTGTGGACCGGGAGAGGAGATGTGATAAAGGACGCCCGTTGGCTGCCCGTGTCTTTATTTTGTCCTTTTATTTTTGGTGGCAAGCCAGCGGAGCCAGGCTGGGCAGACTACATGCTGACTGCTCGCCGACCCTGCTTACACCGTGCGGCTGTGTGTGTGTGCGTGCGTGTGCTGCCGTGTCCTGGAGACTTGGACGCGCGGGGAGCCGAGAGACGGGCACGCGGGGCACGCGGGGCACGCGGGGCTAGGCGACAGGGTGTCTGGCGAGCGCGGCTGAAAGGTCGCAGCGGCGGTCAGGAGGTTGGAGTCTCTCCTTTTTTGCCGTGACCCTTCCGTGGCCTTTACGAGAATAATGCCACTGGCCCCCTCCCCTGCCCCTCCCGACGAATTTGAAATAAAAACAGGCCAAGTCGCCGATCACGAGAAAGACCACCTGAGTCTTTGGTTAAAAATATTTGGTGACACAAGCGAGTTCCCTGGGCCCGCTGCCCGCTGGTGGCCCGGAGGCATGCGCGGCTCGGCGCGGCGCGGCGTGGCTTGCATTCCAGCATCGCGAGATAGCTGTGTCTAAACGCGGCGATTGTCACCCGACACCGGTGTGCGAGAGAGAAGGAAGGCGAGGGGCCGGTCGGGGCGCAGCGCGCGAGGTGCGCGAGCGAGAGAGACGCGGAGAAAGGTGATGTGTGTCCATGCACGGAGATGGGATGAGTGATAACGACCAGCGTGTGTGCGTGTGTGACCACGCGTGCTGCGGTGTGTGTGGTTCATACCAAAGCTGTTGTATTATCATTTTTCTCCACTTTTACCTTTTATTAAAAAATGAACCTTACCAGTCAGTCGTCGTGAGACTTCTTAGTTGCCTTTGAAGTGCTCTTTAAGTGCCTGGCTGCCTGTAGACACTGTTCAAACAGTTCGCCGAGGTCCGTGCCCGCCCCTCGCCCCGTGCCCCGGTCGTCGGGGAATCCATATCAAATCAAGGCGAAAAATAAAACGAAAGGATACGCGGCAGGTCGGCACGCCGAGCGTCCAGCCGGCCATGATTCGCACTGTTTGCAGTACGGAGCTCGTAAAGAGCCACCTCGAGATGGCGTGCTGCGACGCGGCGGGGCGGGGCGGGGCGGGACGGGGCGGCCGGTATTTCGCGTCAACTCGGAGCCCAGAAGTGGCGACTCCCAGCCAATCAGCTGACACGCCGTCGTTCAGTTTCGACCCGTTGTTCGACAAGTGGTTAGGCGTTTGGGGGTTTGGGGCACTCTCTCACACTCTCACCGAGAGAGGTCCCGGTTGGTGGCCCGTCCCGGTTGGTGGCCCTGTGGCCTGTGCCCGGCTGTGCCCCCCGCGCGGACGCGACGCTTCCTCTAGGATTGCTACGCTCTGGAGGCCACGGAGGCCGTGAAGGCCCCGGCCGCCGAGGCCCCCTGCCTTTGTGTTCGTGTTCCTCGTGAATCTGGCGGATGGACGAGCCGTGTGATTGGCCGCCGCGGCCAGCCATTCCTGTGAATACCACACACACAACCACACTGATTCTCTCGCTCTCTCACACGCACACACAAACACACACGTGCGCGCGTGCGCGCGAGCACAGCCGCTCGTTTCCGCACGCCTGCGTTGGTTTGTATTCTATTAGTTTGCCTCGTTTGCCCCCCTGGAATAATAACGATCTGTTAGATAAATAAGGCGCCCACACACACACGCACAGACACTGGGGCCGGCGTCGAACCCAGTCAACGCAGTCCATCGCGGCAACGAGTTAGTGCCTCCCGGTCTCCCACGCCACGCCTCGCCTCGCCACGCCTCGCCACGCCACGCCACGCCCCACTTCCCCCGGCGGCGCCTGGACGTCCACGCCCCTAAATCCACTCCTCGCCGCCCCGCCGCACCCTAAAGTCTGCCTCCCAGTCAGTGCATGAAAAATTCGTCGCGGGTTGTTAGGATTTCACCTGGAGGCGGCGTGGCGGCGTGGCCCGTGGCGGCTTGGCGCGTGTGTGACGCGGTCCTGGACAAATCCCCGACCCCCAACGACGCCCCCCCCCTTCCCTTTGGCACCCGAGATGCGTCCCGCGATAGGGAGGAGGCTGTTAGGCCCGTGCTGGCCGCGCAGGCCGCGCAGTGCTGGAATGAAACAAAACGACGCCGGCGACGCGACGTGTCGGTGTGTGTGACGGCGTGACGGCGTGACGCATGCCCCCCGCAGCCACCGCACTGCCACCGCCGCGACGCCGCGGACCCGAGCTTCCTTTTCGGTGCTGCCGTTTGGCCCGCTGCTCTTCATGTTGCCTCTCCGCCTCCGACACCGGCAGACACGCGCGGCCCGGGATCCGCACCAAATAATGCAGAGCTGGAAGAGAGGGGGAGGGGGTCGCTCATCAGATCGTCACGCGGGGCGCGCCGGCCCGGCCGGCCCGGGCGCGGGGCGGGCAAACCGGTTAAATAAACCTCCCCGGGTGGATAATAGATTTATTTCGCAGATAATATACCACGGGCCCTCTTCATAAATTGACACTGCGTCCCGCGTCGCGCGTCCCGGGCCTGCCGGCCTGGCGTGTCGCAAGTACCGGGCCGCACACCCACACGCCCGGCAGGCTTTTGGACGAGGACTGCCGTGGCGTCTCGGTGTCCGCCGTCCGGATCCACGTCCGCGTCGTCCGCGAGTCACCCGCGACTTTGTGCTCCAGATACCAGTGTACCAACGCGGTGCTCGCCGTTCTCAGGACCATTTGCAGTGCCAGCCATTCCAAGTCGAGCTGTGACCGCCATTCTTTCCGCCATTCCCAGGCAGGGCGTGTTTGTGGCACGGATGGCCCATAGACCTTCGATCCCCCCTCCCCCGTCTTATATATAGAAAGGCCCTCCGTGTTTTATGCTTGTTCCTAATTTGTTTTCCAGAGCCATTCTACCTTACTGCCGTGTCTCCACGAAGGGACAGCTGTAAACCCAGAAGAAACAAGCAAATAAAGCAACCTTTAACATTCCTTTAAAAGCACACGCGTCGCGCGCTGCTCGCAGCGGTAGTGGGGCCTGGCGTGCCGGGCTGCGTCGTGCCAGCGGCCTGCCCTGCCCCTCCGCCCCGCTGTCGCGTGCTTCCACTCCTTTTGTTTCCTCGTTGCTCCCAGGTGACTCACGGGGACAAGCGGCCGCTGTCCTTGTCGCACCGTGGCTGCCGTGGCTCGGCGCTCGGCGCGCCCCAAATTAGCGACCGCGGACCGCGTGGTTCCAGTGCAGCCGCCAGGTCGCTCCCGTTTGCGCAGGCTCCCCAGAGAAGGCGTTCCCAATCCGAACTGCGCTTTCGACACTCTGCCTCTCTCGCACTCTCTCGCCCCGGGAGTGCGAGAGAGACAGAGTGTCGACGCCCAGTGCGCCGTGCGGGCAGTGCGGGCAGTGCGGGCAGGCCGGGCGCCACGCACTGCTGCTCGCGCTGGGCGCTACTTTATTTTGAAAGCGATCGCGCACGCGAGGCATCGCGATGCGCCCCGCCGACAAGAGACAAGACCACCGCAGCGCGGCAGCATGGCGGCAGCGCACCTTGCCCGGCAGCGCAGCGCAGCGCATCGCTCGTTTTTCAGACCAAGCCAAAACGCAAAATCGGGGCCCCATCGCACTGCCGTGGACGCAGCCGAGGTCCTGGTGCGCAAAATGTCGTCAAAACGACGTTGCCGACGCTTGACTCCGCGGAGCCACATGCACCGGAATGGAGCGGAGAGGACCCACACGGACAAACAAACACCACGTTTGCAGTTGCTGCCGGAATTCTTCAATTCACACTCACTCCCACCAAAACAGAAGGGCGCTGCAAGCAGTGGCAAGCGGAGGGGTAGCCTGCACTCGTGCCCGCGAGCGCCGACGATGTGGCTTTGGGCCGAAGTCGATGCTCTTCTTGCAGAGGTTTATTTGGCAGAGCCACCCGGACCCGTTCCCGGCGCGCAATCACACACAGTATAGCACACGCACACACACGCTGCCCGTCCCGCTGCTCTTTTTGCGACTCCCCCCGCGGATCCCCCTGCAAGGTTCCCTGCCAGCCGCAGCCAGCGGGGGGCCGCTCGTGGTGTGATAAATGAATTATTAATAACGCGAGAAACACGCGCCTTTTGTTGAAACAAAAGATACGACTCTGGTTCGGCGCCTGAGTTATGCGCCGTGCTGCCCGGCTGGCTGTGCCTGACTGTGCCCGGCCGGCCGACGGCTACCGCGGGGAGCGTATCCATCATTGGCGGGCCGGCCATCGATAAGACTGTCCTTGCTACAAATTAGCAGGACGCCTCGCTGCCCCGCTTGGCTTCCCCGAGGCCCCGAGGCGCAATCCAAGGATGAAACAATGCGCGCGACCGGAGTATGAGAAATGGCGTCGCGGCGGAAGGGCCCGGCCGCCGAGCTTAGCCTTGCTGCCAGATTATTCGCAGAAACGCGTCGGGCTTCGCAACGCTCCGCAACGCTCCGCAGAGCGCGCCGCCTTTTACGGCCGATTGTTTCCGTCTTTGTGGATTCTGCGTGATTCTGTGCGGCACTGCCGGCATTGCCCGTCGCATTGCCCCGCCAAGCAGCAGACCGGGCGGGTAGGGCGACGCCGCCTGCGAACGCGGGGATAGGCCACCCAACAGGCGGGCGTGCGCGCGAAGGCGGCGGTGGCCGATGTGGCGGGCGCTTTGGAGCCGTGAAGCCTGGACCTGGAGGCTTGCCTGGAGGCCGCTTCGAAGGGACGTGCCAGAAAAGGAAGAAACCAGCAGCGGTGTTTCATTCTTTTAATACCACAATACCTAACTCCAAAATGAAAATAAAAATACACTTCTAATTTATGACCAGATCTGCACTCCTCCGACGCGAAGCCTGGCCATGTCTTGACAAGAGGCAGGGAGGGGTGCCCTGCAGCACTTACTCTTTCGCACCTTCGCACTTTTCACCACGTTTTGCGAGAGTGGAAATCTTTTGGTTCACTACCCGGAATGCAATCGCAATAAACTCAAGATATTGGGATTGATTCTCGCGTAGAGTCCCCGCAGTTCCTGGGGGTGGATGGGGTCAGACCACCTCAAGACATGGGGAGACTTCTCCGAGCAGAATGTTGGTTGTCTTTATTCGAAGACTCTTTTCTCACCTCTTCCATAATATCATCAGTCATGCTAGTTGAAATAGTATCATACACCAAGGATTTATACAAACAATAAAATAATATGCATTTATAAAGATAGCGTTATATGAATACAAGTGTTCTGGACGTAACGTATAATAATGATAAAAATGAGGACAGCGCTTCGCTGTTGCGAGACCCTCTTGGAGAATTTGGGTCTCGGCCGGACTGTGAAGAACGCGTTGGCTCCTGTGCCTGAAAAAGAATTGAGAACAATTTTACCCTTTCGTTTTTTTTTAGGGTCAGATTTACAATGGAGCGGCACTTACCTTGAGAATGCTCGGGCAGTTTATTCCTCCTCCTCTTCCTCTTCCTCCTCCTCCTCTTCCTCCTCTTCCTCCTCCTCGGCGGCCTCCTCCTCCTCCTCCTCCTCTTCCTCCTCCTCTTCCTCGGCACCCCCTGCGGGCTCGTCGAGGTCCTCGTCGGCGCCTCCCTTGGGCTCCTCCTCCTCGGGGCTGTCTGGGGCGCCCTTCTTCTTGCCGGGCCTCTCGCCGAACCACTTGGGCAGCTTGGCTGTGAGAGGGAGGGGCAGTTAGCGGTCGGCAGGGTGGGGGGAAGAAAAAAATACTCCACAGACGGTAGCCAGGAGAAAAAAAGCAGAAAACCACACGAGGACAGAGAAAAGTCAAGATGCAGGTTGAAGAGAAAAAAAGGAGAGAAATAGAGCTATGTACAGAATGTTTCAGAGAAAGCACCACAGCAGGGTGAAGACGGTGTTCGGAGCGATACTCTCTCACTGTAAATATCATCTTTTCCGAAAGCACTTCAAAGTAATAATCTTAATGTCGCTGAGAAGAAGAGTTGCAGCGTCGAAAAGAGAGACAGAGGAAATTTCCTAAAGAACTTGAAGAAAAAAGACATCTAGAACTGTTGGCAATGTGAGATTTTTCTCGGTCTACTTACAAGCTGTGCGCTTCTCAAACTGTTGCGATCGCTCCGACCAGACCTTCTCCATGCTCTCTTTGGTGGAGGTCTCAAGGCCCTGCGGAGGCAGCATCAGGCAGGGTCAGCAAACAGTCCAAAAATCACCGCAGGCAAAGTCGGGGAGGGGGGGGGGCGTGCAACTGCAGAGACGCATGGCGCAGTCGGGGGTACACATGCTGTCTAGAGAAACTAACGTGGAGGGCGGGGGAGAAAGGGGGATGGGCGCTTCTGTACAGCACACACCAGGCCATGTGACATCAACAAGACAAGCGACACATCGTCTTTGTACAGTCTCGAAGCCGCTTAGTGGAAGCACCGATGCTTGCATCTCGGTCCTACTTACAAGCAGTGCGCTTCTCAAACTGATCCACCTGTTCTTTCCAAAGTTTCTCTTTCTGCTCCTGTGTTAAGGTTTCCCAGCCCTGCGTGGGTACACATAACACCAGAGTTAGCGCTAGGGCGACACAAGATGGGCATGGACACGATGCAGGGGACGGGGGCAGAGAGCTGTCCAATGGCGCTCGCTTCGGCCGGTTCAGCCCCCTCGGTGGAGCACAGACCACACGACGGCACCACGGGCCTGTACACGGGGAAAGCCAATGCAGCAGGCCAGCCGTGGGACCATGACCATGCTAATTACCTGGGGAGCGGTTCGTGAACTGATCAGTTCGTTCTTTCCACACTTTCTCCCACTGCTCACTGGACAGGACTTCCCAGCCCTGCACCATAAGACATGCAGTTCAGGTCGGCTCTGGACCGCGGAGGGAACGTTCGGGGACTAAGAGACGACACAGCCTGACCAGATAAAGTCGAGGGCAAGGGGGGCACCACGGAGGGAGGGTTTCAAAGTCATTGCAGGGGGGAGGGGGCAGGGGCAGTTCCATACGACATGGACAGACGCATTCCGGGTGGGTGGGCCACTCCCAGGCACGGTCCCCACTACAGGGGCTGCCTACTCACTTTTTCTGCGTTTTAAGAACAATTCGTTTCTCTCTTTCCAATTGTTTTCGCTGAGCTCCAAACTCACAGTTTCCCATCCCTAAGTTATCCGGAGAAATAAAGACGTGCGCATCAGACCAGCGAAAACACTAGTACAGTCAAGAACAACGCGTGTTCCAGGAGACTGTGGCCCACTGAAGAGTTCTTTGAAAATTAGAGAATATGGACAGTGAATACCGCACGAGGAATCAATTTCGAGAAAGAGAGATCAAATTATACGTACACCCTCGAAGAGCTTCTTCTTGTCCTCGTACGACCGGGTGTCCACTCGGCGTTCATATTTGGAGGCTACTTGGATCATGGGCTGCAAGGGAAAGAAACGGGGGATGAGTTAAGATAAGACAGAAGACGGTCACACGGCATCGAGGCGCCTGGCCTGCCCGTCAGACACGCGCGTGAAGCGGGTTGCATACCGGGCGGGCGCTCCAGCGAAGCGCCTTACTCGTGGCCGAGGCCTGCCCGTCAGACACGCGCGTGAAGCGGGTTGCATACCGGGCGGGCGCTCCAGCGAAGCGCCTTACTCGTGGCCGAGGCCTGCCCGTCAGACACGCGTGTGTGGCGGGTTGCCTGGGCGCTCCAGTTAGGCGCCCGACCGGTGCCGACACGCGTGTGTGGCGGGTTGCCTGGGCGCTCCAGTTAGGAGCCCGACCGGTGACGAGGCCTGCCCGTCAGACACGCGCGTGAGGCGGGTTGCCTACCAGGTGGGCGCTCAAGCGGCCCGTCACACAGGGTGCGGCGGGTTGCTACTTACGGGGTACTTTCCGGTAAGAGCTTCGGGGTCCAGACCCTTCTTCAGGGCCTTGTGCCTGAGCTGCTGCTTCTGTCGCTCCTTCAGCTCTTTTAACTGCGAGGGAGAATGGCAAATTAGTGATTTGACGTCGATTGCACGTAGGCGCTGACGTCAAACTCATTTCGACTCACGTCGTAGTCCTGGCGCTTTTGCCTCTCCTCCAAGTCGTACTTCTCGGTCTCCAGCTTGACGATCTGCTCCCACAGGTCGGCGGCCTTGAGCTGCAGCTTGTCGACGCTCATGTTGTCCAGGACGAGGGGCTTGATGCGGAACGACAGGGAGATCTTCTTCTCCTCCTCCAGCTGCTCCTTGGTCTTGTTGCGCTCAATCTGAGCTGATGAGAGGTTGAACTGCAAGGGACAAAGTTAGTGCTCTGTTTCCTTGCCTGCGGCTAAAGGCACTGTCGAACACTCACGCCCTCCTTCTTGTTGATGGTGAAGTTGGGTCCCTTGCTCTTGCTCTGCTCCTTGAGGGCGGACATCATGGCCTGGCGCTTCTTCTCGGCCTCCTCCAGGCGGCGTCTCTTCTCCTCGATGTCCCGCTGCTTCTTCTCCTCAACCTCGCGCTGCCTCCTCTCTTCCTCCTCCTTCTTGCGCTGAGCCATGCGCTTCTCCTCGTCCGCACGCATGATCTACGCCCAAACAATAAAAAAATCGGTTGCATTTGCATTTGTTTGTTTGGAACAAGTTTCTCCTTTCAAATTCAAACTGCACTCGTTTTACCTTGCGCTTGGCCTGCTTCTCCTTCAGCCTCTTGAGTTCCTCCTCTTCCTTTGACCTCTGCTTGCGCCATTCTGTGATGTACTCCTTGAGCTGTTCGTCGAGGGCCGAGCTCTTCTGTTCCTGACGCTGTGGGTCAAACGGGGACGGAAAGGGCGATCAGTTTGAGCGGCACCACCGACCAGCGTCGTGAAACCACGGGAGTGCGGAATTACCTTGACAAACTCGGGGTCTCCTTGCTTCTCATCTCCCCTGCGCGGCACGGAGGGCAGAAAGGGGAATTAGTCAGAGTCGGGTCGCGAATCAGTGCCAAGGGGAAAGGACGCAGAAAGGGGACGAATCCCCACCAACTCCAACGAGTCGATTCGTTGGTCATTTCCCCTTGCTGTGTGCACAGGGTCGAGTGGGACAGAGAATGGCTATATAGAGACGCCGGGACGAATAAGACGGAATGGCACAAAAGTAAAGAAAGAAAAAAAAACAGCAGGTTTATTATTGATGTAATAATTGTTTTCGATTGCCCGCGTAATTCACTGCAAAAAAACGTTCAGACCGCACCACTGGGGGCAATGGATGCCATTTTACACATCTTTAGTTAAACAGACCACTTAAGACAACAATTTGGTGCGGTCTAGACCACGTTTGGCCACGTTTGGTTTTCCCTTTCGAATCACAGCCAAACTAGTCTAGCCACCATTTTAACAAAACGGATCCCTTTGACCACAAAGTTGGTGTGTCTAGACCACTTTGGAGGGCAAACAGAAAATTGCTGAGGGGGGACAACAAAGGGGGGTAGTAAATATGACGACAGGGGTGATAGTTAAACTAACCACCTTGCCCAAGGGAAAAAAACAAAACCGTGAACAAACTTTTTTTTCCCTTTTGAATCACAGCAAATTTGTCCACATGAACAAAAGGATCAACTTGAAAAGCGAAAAAAGGTTCGACACACTTGAGGGAAACAGAGAGGCAAATTGCTGGGAGGACTAAAGCACAAGGAGGTAGTACAATAAGAGGCGACAGGGGGCTGCATTGTTAAGAGCTATGACCACCTTGCCCAGGCAAGACAGCGAGACCCCGAACTCCGCTCCGTGGGTGGGTCCCGCCGATTGTCCGCAGGGCGAAAGGCTCAACTCGAATCGAAGGCTCGACACACCGTGCAAATGCAAGGCGGCAAAGCGGCCTTGGGCGGCTGCCAACACTGCCAACGCGGGTTTGCAAAGCGGGACCGACGAGGGATGGGGGAAAGGTGCCAAACAACTCGAACTATATCGTGGCGGTTCGCTTCGTTCCAACGTTTAACGGGGGTTGTTCTTTATTTTTACCGTCTTAATTCGTAAAGATCAATTAAAATTGCACCACAAATTTGAACCAGTTTAGAATTAAATAGGGTGTTTGCGAATCAGGCTTAAATATCAAGTAAATTTTCGTATTTTAAGCAGTGAGAAGCAGACATGGGTGTGCGGCACGTACAAAGCACCACTGGTTACAGCGCGCAGGGGACCCAATGAGACGAAATCAGGGAAAAACTTCTTCATGGTAAATTTGACGGTGACACGAAGTAGTCACAAAACAATCGCACACATGATGTCCAGGAGACGCATTATTTTTCCGAGAAAAATGTTTATGAATATTGAACACAGAAAAGGTACATTATGAGTAGCGGTTTTTGTTAAACAATGCTTTTTACGGCTTGTTTTCGCACGAAACGATAATGAAAATAAGTGGTTGATAATAATATGTATGAACACACATCACAAACCCACAAAAACATTGATTTCCACACACTGCAGGGAATTATTACCTGAGTGATTGCCTAGGCTTACTGCTACTCGAGGAGAAACAAAAAAACAATAATAAATATCAGTTATCCACCTTTGATAAGAAAATTCCCAAAACCTCAAACGGCGTTGAAAGGGTGGAAAAATTCCCTGAGCACAAAAAATGCTCATCTTTCCCACCGTTTGAGCACTATCCATTAGGATGGGAACCTACTTGTTTATGGTGAAAACATGAACATTTTGCCGCGATTTTCTGCCTACCAATCGAATAAGACGCAACAACAGCAGTACTGATTTTGCTTCGGGAGGGGCAGCAGTAGAGGGGTGGCAAAGGCAGGAGTGGGAAAGGAGAGAGAGAAAAAGAGAGCGCGCTTAGATTTCTACCGTTGGCACATGTGCTGTAAAAAGATGCAAATGCGTAAAACTCGGGCGTTACGAGGTTTACGCAAGCCGACAATTTACTACAAAACATCTACTCTGGGTGAGTGCAGAACAACTAAGTCTACTCCTCCTTCCCGTTTTCCGAACGACGGCCAACGACCATTTAATCTGTCATACTAAATATGAGGCACGAGCAAATTGTTGAACGCACAAAAGTTCAAAATGAGCGCTTCCAAAAAAAATTATTAAAACATTTAAAAACACACAAAAAAATCATTTTCTTTGTTGCAAAAATTGCAAAGAGTGCAACGAAGATGTTTCTCACGAGACAACTTTTGGTCGGCCTTCGCGTTCTACAAATAGCCTTCTTATTCTTTACAGAATTTGCTACTGCACTTCTAAGTGTTAAGAGCACACGGCGTTGCATCTATTGCGACATTTTTCAGTGTTACGAGCAAAAATATGTTTAATAAGCACACTGCCCGAAGAACTGCGACGTTACAAAAAGAAAAACAAAAACAATGAAAGTTATCGGACTTACTCTGGCCTCCGTACGGGTTCGGGTTCCTGTTCCCTTTAGAGATAGAAGGAGGAAGGAGATCAGGAAGGCGTAACAGAAAATATAAGAAAACATTAAGACTAAGAGTAACAGGAGTGAATTTAAACGTATTTGCGCGGTTCTTAAAACATTCGTATCTAGGCCGGAGATAAGGCGCAGGACTTCCAGAAGAGAAGAGGTGTGAAAGGAAAAGGATAGACGAAAATATAAGGACCAGGGAAATATAGTTAGACCAAACGTACAGGTGGCGGTTAACTTATTTGGAAAGGGTGGATAAGGATCATTTTTTATGGGGCATATATTTGTCGGTACAGTGACAAACATGGAGAGAATGTAGTTTACATAGGTCATATAAAACCGTATACTTTAACGGAACTGATTCATATTTCCACCACAACAGTAGACAAAAACGTATATAGGATATTTTTTTTTAAAAGGACTACTGAACAGAATATTTGCCATTGATTAATAGTAAGACAATTCCACACGTATACTCTGTTTCGCACAGAGATAAGGCTTTTATGAAGTGGCCCGAAAAAGATCACTGTTTTTTTTACTGTTTAATAATTGAAAAAAAAAATGTTCTTTAACTTAGTGCATTAAAATACTTCTAAAGTTTTATTAGTTGATAAAGTTAACTTAAGTTTTGAACAACTTTATTTACGATATACTGCAGTCACAGTAAACGTCTATAGTTTTTACACCTACTGTTACCATGAGCTGAGAAGTCAGCCACCACTGCTGACTGAGGGGTACATACCTCCTACGTTGGGGGAAAGAGACAGAAGAGACAGAAATTAGAAAGATGATAGAGAAAGAAGGCAGTATGAATTACATCAGGCAGCTCTCTCAAGACTACGAGGACAAGACCAAGTCTACTTCTCCTGATAGCTAGAGAATAAAATATTTACAACTATGGCAAAATGGCCTACTTTGTAGCGAGAGAGAGGCCAAAATTCTAAAAATAGATGCATCCTACTCTTAAAAATACTTAAAAGTAATAATTGGATCTAATTCAGCAAAAGAAAGCATCAATAAAACAATAATGTAAAAAAAAGAAAATTCTTTCTTTTTTCCAGTAAAATTTATGGAGTTATTTGCGAAGCACTACTTGTTCCCAGACACGATCGAGCAGAACATTCAACCAAGAGATGAGGTGCTAAGCCAGACTTGTTTTTATTTTCTGTGTTTATTTTTGGAGGGTGCGTCCCCCGCCGCCCCCGACCGGCCCCCGACCCACGACAGGGGCCCAGCTCGTCCTTCACACCGCCTGACCAAAGCACACTGTTCTATGGTTGTCTGCTCTATCGGCCTAAGAGATCAATTTAAACCTAATGTCAGTAACGAAAGACTGAAAGTCGTGTCACTTACACTTCTTCTTCTTCCTCCTCCTCCTCACTGCAAAAGGGCACAATACAGACGAACGGTTAGCCGCGAAAATGGACAAAAACAGGGGGACTGGGGCGAGTGCGATGCAAGAATTCAACGAACGAGCAAAGGGACCAGGGCCGACAAAAAGAGGAGATCCAATTCATGCCGGCATTCCACATTCTATGGACCGAGCCGAAGATTGAGCACCCCTACCCTTAATCCTCAAATATTAGACTCATTTCTATACTTACGAGTATTGTTCCTCGTCGTCGGACATGGTTGGAAGGGGTTAAAAGGCTGCAAAAGAAAAAGGGCGTTAGGGACTTGATGCAACGGCGTGAACCGCGACGTGTACCCAACGACCATCCAGAGTGGTCCATTTTATTTCGCACCACTCGCTCCGCCGGGAAAATGGAAAAGCCGAGATGGTTTCCCTACGCGTTTCGTGCGAAGGTGCAGCCTTTCCGTGGCGACCACCGGTTCCACTTTTAGCCCGTGCGCCGACGGGGCGTTGCTGGTGCCTCCTCGACCCCAATTTAGCCCGCCCCGCCCCGCCACCCCGCCCCGCCCCGCCGCGCCACGCAGCGCCACGCCCGGTCAGCCGGCGCGCGCACTCAGCCAACCCTTATACAGGCAGCAAGAAACATGATCGTGGCGCGGCCGCCGTCCCGGACAACATGTCCATCACGACGTCAGCCGGCAGTGCTGCACGCGGTGCACGGCTCCAGTCCAGTCCGGCCAAACGCACGGCCTCGTTCTCGTCCACACGAGTGTCACCACCGGTCACTACGCGGCAGGGCCTCGGCAGAGCCCGGCAGGGCGAGCTGCGGTCAGTCCGGCCTCGACCACGGCACTATGACACACACGAAGCTTGCAATGAAGTGGTGACGGCGGCCTTTCCGGCGCCACAGGAGCAGCAGGTAAAATCCACAAGGAGCGGCAGCCGAAGAAGAAGGAGCAGCACAGAGTGGAGTCTCAAGTCGCACGGCGAGACACTTTTTCACTCGCTTTTACACACGCTTTTGCACTTTTGCACTTACACTGAAGCTCAACTAAAGAGAGGGCACACGCGGTCCGGCGGTGTTCCGACAAGGGAGTGCGAGGAGACAGGGATCCGGGACCGCGACGAGGCTGGCCCCCCTCGGAATGTGTGGTGGTGGGGGCAGGGGTGGGGTCGGAGGGTGGCCCCTACCCCCACCGGGCGCTAGCCGCGCCGGCCCCCTCCCGTCCGCACCACCGCACACATATTTAGAACGGCACAGTGGGCTGGTCCGCGCCGTGGTCGCCGCCGTGGCGCCCGCCCCGTCCCCCGCCTCACCCACCGCCCAGCAGGCCTCGGGGATCGCGTTCCCACAACAAAATGTGCCGCCTCTGCCTCCCCCGTCATTGTCAACCCACCAGAGACACCCCCCCCCCTGCCCCGCGACGCGGCCCCGCGGGAGCACGGCGCCGGCGAGCAGGGCGTCCAAGCCTTCAGCCTCCCTTCAGGTGCACGGTCGTCTTGAAATGAATGCCGGCGCGCACCGCGCACGCCGAGGCGCACGCCGCCCTAAACTTGCCCCCGATGTCACGTCGCCGACGTCGCCCCATCCCTCTCCGACAAATGGAGTGCCTGTCTGTCGAGCGAGCCGCGACCGAATGCAGGCCAATGCAGGCCGCGCAGAGTGCATACAGATGGGCCGCAGGTGCGACGGGCTGGGCTGCACTTGTGCACTTGTCAACGCGTCCAACGCGCACGCCACGCGCAGGCACAGGTGTGGCCCAGGCCCCCGGCGCCGCTGGGACAGCCTTGCTGGTGGAGCCAGACGCCATCGCTCCGACTGGGCCCGTCACACACTGTCATGGACACGGCTCCAAATGATTCCAATGCCTCCGCAGATGTCTTCTTTCCACTTTTCAAGGGGCCCTCTGGTGCTATTCCAGGCCGTCCGCCAACATGACTGCGGCAAAAAAGTGCCAAATTATACAAAAATTTGTTGTTTTTTTAATTTTTTTTTTAAGTTGTCGAACGACGAGCGATCCACGCTGCCGGGTTCGAAACGAGACCAGGACGAGGGCCCTACGGGGGTCCAGCTTCAGGAGCGACCCCCGCACTCAATACCAGAATTTGAGTCCTGGGGCTGGGCGGCCTGCGAGGGCCAGGCCAGGCAGTGCCAGGGCGCCAGGGCCAGGATGCCGGCGATCATTTGTTTACCGGCGTTTGCAGCACTTGGGCCCGCCCCGCCCCGCCCTGGCCCACCTTGCTTGATTGCAAACAGGGCCTTCGTCACTCCGTCTCTCTCGCACTTATGGTGCGCAGGGGTGCGAGAGACAGAGCGTCGCTGGCCTGCCGGCTCCACCGCGTCGGTCGCCCCTCGGGCCGCCCCCAGGAATAGCCGCCCTCTGCGCCACATTGTGTGCGGATCCCGGCAATCATTCCCACGGGACTTCAACCAGTGCGACCCCGTGGACCGTCGCAGCCCCCAGCCCTCAGCGGCCAGAGCCCCCGGCAGGGTAGGCCGCGCGGCTCGCAGCCGTGCCGCGCTGCTGCCTACGCCGCATACCATTACCATTAAGGGCTAGACCACACATGGCGGCCGGCACACCGCGCAGCGCGTCGTCGGTCCGGCGCCTTCTTCTCGGAGTGTAACGTTTCCGTCGGTATATTGGTGCGATATCGGTTCGGTGGCAACGGGGCCCCGCCCCGCCCCGCCACACGCAGACCCGGTGACCCAGAGGGCGGCGCGCCGCGGCGGAAGGGGGCGTCGCGTCCCGTCCTGTCTCAGGATCATCACGCCCTGTGCGAAACGGAGGCGAGATCATCGGAGGAGGGAGGGATCAGGGACTGCGGGGCGCTGTGGGGCCTGCGGCCTCTCCCCGATCGTGGGTGGAGTTGGAGGGGCGCGGCGCTGCCGCTCTCAGGCCGCCTCAAAATATCCCCCTTTCGTGTTGACGCGGCGCCGCGGCGGCAGCGGTACGCCGGTGGCCGCGCTGCTGGGGCTCGAACCCTCGCCGTCGATGGCGTAGCAACTGGCGGCCTCCCCCAACGGCCGCACGGCGTACGCCACTGAAGCGCCGCTCCGCCGCCCCGCGAACCCACAGAGCGATTGTTGGCGAGGCACGGCCCGGCACGGCCAGGCACGGCCCCACCCCATGCAGGTGCTCTGTTGCCACGAAGGCACGAAGGGCAGGTGCACCAGAGCGGAGGGTGGCGGAGGGCCGCGGCCCGCGCGTGAAAGGCTTTCGCTCGGCATATTTTTAATTCCCCTCCCTGGCTGCCGGTGACACAACTGCAGGGCGAAGACGCGTCTTGATTGCATGGCGTTGTTCCTCTGAGGCAGTGGCCGTCCGGCCGGTTCGGCCATTTGGCACGCCGCTTGCCGCCGCTTGCCGCTCGCCGGGCGATGGCGGCCGCAGTGCCGGCTGGCGACTTCCCCGGGGGGCAGTGCAGCCCAACCGTGCAGCCCGGGCCTGGCCGGGCCCGGCCTGGCCACACCGGACGGACCAACGACTCCGTGGAGCCTGGCCGGTGCGCGGTGCGTGGGCACAGGGCGCTGGCGGTGCTGCGCGCGCGCAAAGACCGCCGAGCTCGCCGAGCTCGCCCTGACCCCTGACCGCCAGGCGCCATATAAGGGTGCGGGGGAGCAACGCGAGAAGGGGACGCCCCCCGATGCCGTCATCGCGTCAGGCGCGCCTCCCTCTCCCCCACTTCTTTTTCCCCGCTTCTGAGGGGGCACGGCCGGCCGGCCAGCCGGGCTGGTCGCGATGCTTGTGTTTCTGCCACCCCCTCCCCCTCCCCCTCTCGTTCTCCCTTTTGGCTTTCGCACTCATTTCAAAGGGGCCGGCCAGGCGCTGCGGACGCTGCGCGCAGGCCTGGCTGCCTCGGTGGTACGGCGGCGCAAACACACGGCACACACCCACACCGACCCCGACCGCCAAACGTCACCGGCATCCTGCTGCATCCTGTTGCATATCCTGCAACCTGCACGTCCTCCACTTGGCGCACAAATTTCCTTCCCAGTAGATAACGTTGTTGGGGGGGGGGGGAATCATTTTAAAAACGCATTGAAAACAGAAGGTGGTTTTTTATTGCACGAAAGAAAGGCAGTCTGGCGGGGGTGCCGCCTGGCTACTGGAGGCAGAGGGCCAGCATGGCGAGGGGCGTCATCACGGACAGCAGCAGGGCGGGCGCCACGCCGGCGGCGGTGCCCTTGGAGGGACTCTTGTTGGCCTCCTGCAGGAACTCGTACAGAGGCTGGAAGTACTCCAGCATGGCCTTGCCCGACATCTCGGTGCCGTTCGTCATGGCCAGCATCGTCTCCGTCCAGTGCACCGAGGAGCCCAGCTTGAGGCCGGCGCTGTGGGCAGAAAGGGTGTCAGTGAGACAAGGAGCACGGGGCGCGGTCACGCGAGTCGCGTCAGCGGCCGACTGCGGCCGACCACACACCACGCCGTCAGCGTATTCGGCGGCTCGAGGTTTGGGGCGCGGAGCTGCGCGGAGCCCGATTGTCCAAGCCAAGAGGCGTGCCAGCCCAAGTGGCTGACTAGGCGTCTACTATCTAATCCGCCGAGATTAAACAACGTGACGAATCGGACGGGCTTGGCAGTGGCGTGCCATGCCAGTGAGTACGTACGCGAGCTTCTTTCCTGCGGCGCGGCTCTGGTAGAAGTCGCACGTGTGGAGCGGGGCGGAGTTGGCGTCGCTGGGGTCGTACTGGCCGGCCTCGATGCACAGGGCGCGGTAGAACTGGAACTCCAGCACGCCGGCCACGAAGTACCTGACAAAGCAAGAACGTGTGTTATTTGCTTCCGCCAGTACCACCGGAAAATAAAAACTAAAGTGCGCGGACTCACGAGATGTATTTCGAGTCCGCGGGCACGTGGTACTTGGCGCCAGGGTCGAAGTCGTTCTCGGTGCGCTCCAGCGGCGGGCTGAGCAGCTGGTACTTCTCCTTAAGCTCCCACCAGCGCTTGTTCCACTCGGTCTCCTTCGTGGCGCCGGAGAAGACGTCCCACCGCCACATGTCCACCAGCAGGCCGAACGGCATGAAGGCCACCTTCTCGAGGGCCATCTTCATGAGCGCGTTGACGCGGCTCTCCTTGGTGTCCGCGTAGTTGCTGAGCAGCTTGACGGTCTGCAGGTGCTTGGGGGTGTCCACCGAGAGGGCGATCGTGTCCCCGATGGCCTCGTGGAAGCCAGGGTTGGCGCCGTCCCTCAGCACGTAGGGCAGGTGCGCGTACTGCTGGTAGTACTGGATGTGGCCCATCTCGTGGTGGATGGTGCGGAAGTCGTCCTGGTTGATCTTGGTGCACATCTTGATCCTGGCGGAACGAGAGCGAGGCATGACACACTGCGTGGCCGTGACGCCGAGACGTCGTGACGCGGTCACGTCCAACCCACCGGAAGTCCTTGCCGTCGCAGAAGTCCCAGGCCGAGGCGTGGCACGTCACCTCCCTGCCGTCGGTGGGCTTCTCGATGAGGGCCTTCTCGCCGTAGCACATGCCGTTGGGCAGCAGCCCCATGGACTGGTAGAAGTCGTCGGCCTTCTCGAACATCTTCTTGGGCGTGTAGTTCTGTCGCAGCAAGCGTTGGGGCATTACTTCAAGTTCAATACGTTTTAGAAACAAAATAATGCTGAGTCGAACCTGCTCTTGCAGCGCCCCAGTGACATCGTAGGACGAGGCGTTGGGGTAGGGGACGAGCAGGTCGTACAGGTTGATCCAGGTCTGGCCCCACATGTTGCCGAGCACGTGCGCGGGGATGAGCGTGCTGTCGGCGGCTATCTTGTCCGGGTACTGCTTCTTGAGCCTGTTGAGCGTGTACGTGTGCAGCTCCTTGTAGAGCGGCGCCACCTCCTGCCACAGCTTGTCGATGGCGTTCTCGAAGTCGTCCACCTCGTAGGTAGACTGCCACATGGCGCCCATGTCCGCGAAACCTGGCATGCAATCGGCGTCAAAAGTAGTTTCGCGTTCTCGTGCTCGCAAGGGAGGGAGGGAATAGGGGATGCTCACCGTTGGCCTTGGCGGCCTCGTTGGACAGCGCGACGTAGTCCTTGTAGTCCGTGCGCATCAGCTTCCCGGACGCGTCGTGCCAGCCCTTCCAGATGTACAGCAGCTCGTCGTAGTCCCGGCTGGTGGTGATGACCTCCTCGATGCCCGGGTCCAGGTTCAGGCCCTCCGTGGCGAGGTCGCAGCTCTGCTTCTTGTAGGGGCACACCTTGGCCGTGCTGTACGTCGTCTGCATGCTAAGCAGGCGGTCGTTGAGCACGGAGTACTTCTCCGTGGTGAGGGCCGCCGTGCCCAGCGACTTGAGGAAGTGCACCTGGCGCCGCAGCTCCGCGTCCTTGATGTCGTTCTCGTCCAGGTCCTTGAAGTACTTCTCCCAGTGCTGCTGCGTGAAGGTGGCCAGGGCCAGCGTCGCTTTGTTCTGCGCAAGAAAGGCGGTGTAATCGTTGCGAGTGGCCCAGTAAACCCAGTCCCAGAGCGCGGGAGCCGGGAGCGCCTGAACGGCCCGGGGTAGGCAACCCATCCTACTTACATAGGCCTCAGTGGTCGCTGGGTTCGTCAGGTCCACGTTGTAGTTCCACTCGGCCTCGTTGGCCTGGTTGCAGGCGGCGGTGGCGCCCTTCTCGTACTCGCCATCCAGGAACAGCCTGAGGGCGTGCTCGTCCGCGAAGGGGCTGGCGCCCAGCGCCTTGGCGGTCTGGTTGACGGCCTGGTTGACGGCACGGGGCGAGCGGCTCAGGCGGTCCCAGCCTCCGCGCACGCAGCGGGCTGCAGCACCGCCGAGGCACAGCGCGGCCACCAGCCCGACGAGCCAGAGCACTGGCGACTTCATCTGCAGTCAGAAGTCCAAAGAGGCTCAACACGAAGACCAAGGTGCCGCACGACCTGACACCAGGGTGCTTGATAAGCTGCCTGCATTTCTCTCAAAGAGCACACAACACTTGATAAGCTGCCTGCCTTTCTCTCAAAGTGATAAAATGACGACTCAAATAGGAGACACGATTAGTATCGAGTCCTTGGCTGGAGGCAGCAGGCAGCTCCGACGTCGATGTTTCTCACCTTGAACCAGCGCGCGACACTGACGAGGACGAACTAGCCGCAATAGAGTTTCGGCTGGGTAAGTGGAACAACTTACTTCTGTTATCTCGGAGGCTTTATCTGAGATTATCCTTTTATGGTAGGCCGAAGAAGCATCATGTATTCTTAATTAATTGATTGCAACTGTGGGCACATTGATTAGTTTTGAGATTGATGGGGTATGTTTTGGCCTCCAATACGAGGTTTAAAAGGTTCTGAACAGGGAAAGCGACTATGTAGAGATTTTACTTGCCTACAGGGAACGGGTTGCTGCAGCGAATTTGGTAATGTGATCACCCAGGGCAAATTTGATTTTAGCATTCTATAGGACAAAAAGAATACTATGTTGGTAGGAACAGAGTTGAATAACAGCATTAACAAGAACTTAGTTTAATTGGATGTTTTGGAAGAAAGTTAACATGAGAGGAACTTGTCTTAGATTTAAAAATAAAGGTGACAAAAGACCTACTTAAGTTTATGTAGTAAGAAAATGACAATCCGACATAATTGTGCCTGTTCTGAATAACATTTCAGATTACTAAGCGAAATAGAGGAATTTGCTACAATATATCACCAATAAATGTCAAATTTGGAAAATTATAGGATGTGGAATGTGCCTCCAATGTACCTCACACATCAGTTGGAAGTATATCAGGAATCAAGTACTTGCACAGTTCCTCTTCACTTTTAATAAATTGTACTTTGCTGGATGTAGTTTCATCTAGCCTGCAAGGGAAGAAAAATACCAAAATGAGACAAATAGAAACAGATGTATTTTTAGTAGTTTTATTATTTTTATTAATATTATCAATCACCATCCTTTGACCACAGTCCAAAATCCAGAAAAGAGGGCAGGGGCGTTAATCATCAGACATATTCCGAGACGTTCAGGATAACGCATGCCAAGCCAGACCAAATTTTTGAGGACTTGAAAATCCGTGTAGCTCAATCCAAAATTTTTCAGATTTAAGACAACACACAAATTGTCAATAACTTCTTCACAACACATTTTGCACCCCTCTTCCTAAAATGAAATAAAAATACAGTTGTTCATACAAATAAATTAACAAAGAACAGTAAAGAAAAACCTTACCAAGCAATACACAATGAACTTTGTGAGCTCATCAATGTTTCCATCATTTACATTGTGATTTTTTGCTGAGAAATAAATTACTGGGCGACCACTTATGTCACGATGCTTCAGCACTTTGGCTATATTTTTTTTCATGTACTTTTGAACAAGAGGACTGGTCTCTGTTAATTCAGCCAGACCATATTCAACTCGCCACTTATTGGTCTTCAAAATTTCCTAGAATATTATAAAAATAATATTCATGAAAGTTGTACACTTTATTGAATTCCTGATCAAACCTTTGCTTTACCATAAATGCATCATCAACAGTTTTGAACGCACGCAGATATCGTTTAAGGGAAAAGTCATTGTGGTACTGTTGAGGGTCAACATCAGAGATCAATTTCATCCTTTCTTTCAACGCTTTCAAATCATCTTCATTAACTGGTTTCGGTGAGAAAGCCATGGTGTATCTAGAAAATAAGGATAACATGAATTGAATAGGGGTGTGGAGAAATGTTATCTAAAAATCTGTTAGCCAAACCATTAGTAAGCCAAAGAACCTCATTTTCAGCCCATACTGGCCTCATACCAAATGGGCTCAGTTGAGTTTCACAAGGGCTTGGGGCCAGTGACATCTCCAACTTATAGATGTTTCTTACCTTGAACCAGTAGATGGCAGTGGCAGGGACGAACTAGCAACTATAGAGTTTCAGATGAGTAAGTGGAGCACTTCTGTTATCTTGGAGGCACCATATCTAAGATAATACTTTTGTAGTGGCTTTGGGTCTGATATATTCTTTCATTTCCTTCATGTATTATGTGGAATGTAGAAGACAAAGCAAAATCAAAACATTTGGCTTTTCAAATCGTTTATTTCTGGGACAGTGCATAAGGGATAATTGTCCACATACATCAGGAACATAAAAGATTGTACATCACATCAGTCATGCAGATCTAGTGCATTAGCATAAGGGAATGCTGGCAAGTTTACCAACAAAGTTGTTCATACAGAATTGAACTTGAAAAGTTAAACTGCAGTGCTCTATATGTACTACAGTTAAATTTGTTGAGCGCATCATGACACAAATGCAAAAAAGTAGAACAAATGATTTAGCTTCCAAAATAGATGAAACAGCCATCGAATTTAACAACCTTCAACAATGATCGGGATTTTCTTCATAAGGGCTAGAAAATTATACTAGAAGCAATTTCGTTGTTTAGGCAACAAATGATGTGAGAAAACGGAAGAGGTGATGTTAAGGACTAAAATTAAGTAGTTTTCAAGAACAGAACTACTAGTCAGGTAACTTTCAATTATCAAACTAATGGCAAAGGTACATAGCAATAGATAGCAAAGGCAATGCATAGAGGTGCTTATACAATTTTGGCTGCTAAGCAAGCACGTAACAAGTAATAAACACATTTAAGTTGCAAGCCGTTTCAAACAAACAATATCTCTCTTCACATTTGAAATAGATTAAATACCTTAAAATACAGAGGTCTAAAATAATCTGATTTAAAGGACAAAAATAATGGAACACGAGTCAATTGTTACCTGGCATATAACATTTTTCTGATAGGCCATTGATTCAAGTTTTCTGACATTACCCTCGAAAATAAATACATATTTGAGTTAATAGTAAGAAAATGCAACAAAAAGAGCAACATGGCACATTCCATACAATTCTTAAGACATTTTAAAAAGTTAATGGTTGTACTGTAGTAGCTTTCACAGTAAGAGTTTAAAATAAATCTTAAGAGTATGGAACATTGTCTCCTTTTTTAGGATACAGAAGATGAGCCGTCAACTCAAAACCAAGTCTAAGTTGACCTCTAGCTTTCACAGTAAGACTTTAAAATAAATCTTACCAGTATGGAACATTGTCTCCTCTTTTGGGGACACAGAAGATAAGCCAGAACTCGAACCCAACACTCAGTTGACCTCAAGTCAGAGTACGTTTGGGGGCTCAGGTTGGGCCTCAGACCATGAGGTCTCATGTTCTGCAGGCCCTTTTTAGGACAAAACAAGTATAGAAAATAAAGGTTAAAGTAGCGTACAAACAAAACTTAAGCACACATACACACACACAGAGAAAATGCTGATACTAAATTATAAAATGATGCAAAAGGTCACACAGCAGTTATGAACAAGCTTGGAACAAATTCATATTCTATTCTACTTTCATTATATTTCATCACAGATCTACAGGAGATTGACCTAGAAAAGATTTAAACTTTCACAGTGTGTTACCTGACTACGTTTCTTCTTACAGCCAATACTTTAGGTTCAAAAAATACTACATGGTTTGGAACACAGTTAAATTACAATGCACAAGGAATGGAAGAACATGGCATAGACAATGCAGACAAAAGTAGCCTAGAACTTTTAAATACAGTTTGTTTCAGTGGTAGTATGTTAGCTAACAGGGACTTTTCTCAGCTTTTTTTATGGCAAAAAAAACAAAAAAACATAACATTGGCAGGAGAGCAACATATTTAAAATAAAAAACAAAACAGAAAACAGTCAAGGAAAAAATTGTGCCCTTTCAGAACAATGGAAGAAGAACTTGCCATAATATAAGACTACTGTAAATTAATTTAAAATTAGGAAAAGATAGGATGTGAAATTTTATAAGATTTAAAAATTTGGGTAGGTTGTCTTCTTTGCAAGCGAAGTACTTTAAACATCACTTGGAAGAATATCAGGTATCAAGTACTTGCAGAGTTCCTCTTCACTATTAACAAATTGAACTTTACTGGATGTATTTTCATCTAGCCTGGAAGGGAACAAGAAGACCAAAATAAGATAAATACATTAAAGAGTATATGAAAGCATTTGCATTAATGATCAGCATTGGAGACTTTACCATCCTTTGATTACAGCCCAACAACCAGAAAAGAGAGCAGGGGCATTTAGTATCAAACATATGCCGAGACGTTCAGGATAATGCTTGCTAAGAAGCCAGATCAAATTTTTCAGGACTTGATAATCCATGCAGCTCAATCCAAAATCTTTGAGATCAAAAACGATGCACAAATTGTCCACAACTTCTTCAAAACACTTCTTACATGCCTCTTCCTGAAATTAAACAAAATTAATTACTGTCCATTAAAAATAAAGACAGAAAGAAACTTTAGGTCAATAAACAAAAAACTCACCAGACAATACACAATGAACTTTGTGAGCTCATCAATGTCCCTATCATTTACATTGTGATTTTTAGCAGGGATATAAACTACTGGGCGACCATTCATGTCACGATGCCTCAGTACTCTGGCTTTGTTTTGATCCATGAACTTTTGAACAAGAGGACTAGACTCTGTTAATTCCGACAGACCATACTCAACTCGCCACTTATTAGTCTTCAAAATTGCCTGGAATATTTTAAGATTATTATTACTGGTGAACGCTGTTAACCATAAGATGTTAACGAAGGCCATGCTCTACCTTAAATGCATTATCAACTGTTTTGAATGCTCGCAGATACCGTCTAAGAGAAAAGTCATTGTGGTACTGTTGGGGGTCAGCATCAGAGATCATTTTCATCCTTTCTTTCAATGCTTTCAAATCATCTTCATTGACTGGTTGTGGTGAGGTGGTTGAAGCCATGGTTTATCTAGAAAATTAACATGACATGCATAAGATGCAATGAAACGCCTTATTCCATTTCTTGCACATAATAAAAGAAGATGATAATCCATTACTTAAAACTTAATGGAGGAGGGGAAACTCGATTTTATTTCATACAATTCAAGCCTAACCTATACTACTACTACTTTATTTGTACTTTCTTAAGAAAGTATGACGCATACATGGATGTGTTTCGTGTTGGATTATATTCAGATGTTGTATTTCTGAACATTGGTATCATGACATATAAATGCCACAAAGGGGAACAGATTGAAAACTTATGCAAAGGCTAGGAAAACAATCGATGCATTGTAAGGTTTCTACATCGCGGGTAGTTTCTTTGTCCCCCGATATTTACTCACCAAATCCAAAACGCACTTTAAACTGTTAAACCTGATAAATCGACGGATACTGGTCACAGTGGGCTCCAAGTGTTGTAAGTCGAAGGCAGACAACCACCATCTGTTGATACCCAGCGAGTGTGTCAAATCGCCACTACAGCCTGCTGTACGAGGGGGGCGAGGGGGAACGCCAATGCTATCCTTCGAGTGCGAGAGAGAGAGAGGGAGGATATCATTTTCTCTTTGAGTGCAACAACTACAGCGCTGCGAGGGAAGTCACCAGCGAATTAATAAAAATCGGCTGTCGAAATTTTGATTGCCCGTCTGATTGATTGATAACTCTCAGGCGCGCGTCCCCAGGATTTTCTTCCAGGGGGGCATGCTATACTTTTTGCATACCTTCAGGCGGGTTGACTGCGGGTTGCCTACTTTAGGGCGATTGCGATTAATGCCTCGGAGGTCGTGACCCGAGTGATCAACCCCTGCGTACCCACCTAATAATCCTAAAGTTGGTTCTCCTACCCCACCACCCCAGTGATGAGCAGAGGACAGGTGGGGGGTGCAGGTGTAGCTCCCCAACTCGGACAAATGCCGTGCCACCCACCCCTCTTTTATCACAGCACTGCCAATGTACGGCTCTGCACTGCAGGTGTGCATGTGAGCACATGTCCTTTCACTTGTTAAATACGAATTTTAGTATGAATGTCCAGTCCCCACATTCTCTGCTTGAGGCCCAATAATGGTTCAATGTCTACTAAAAATTTAATTTATACTGAGTCTATTGATTCATCAAAACAACATCAGTTTGTTTTGTGCAAACAATGACAGAATTATCAATGGGTAATGAATTGAAGATGGAAGAGGGTAATGTGTGAATGATTGTTGGTAGGTCAAGGTATGTAGACATAAAATAAAAATCAAGATAAACAAAAGTCAGTCTTTATTTTCTCATTATTTGTTCAATTCTTAAAGCTTGCAGCAGGAGGATACCTGAAATAGAAATGTTTTAAGCCAAGCAATAGCCTCTATACCATGGTAAAACTAAAATCCAAATCCAAATCCAAAGATTATCGGTTTGGAGATAGAGCTGAGTGCCTAAGGGCCCTTACCCAGCCCTTAGCCAGCCGCCAGCCATAGCATCAGTGTCACCAAAGCAACACTTATGCTCTCAATTATACTAAGTGACATATTTCACAACAAATTAAAGTTAAAACAAATAAATAAATAAACAACTGGAGACAAACTACCTGACTTGATTCTAGTTGCACCATGGTGGTTTAAAGAACTTCTTCACTAACAATTTTCATAAATTTAACAGACAAACAAGTGAAAAAAAAGAGAGAGAGGGAGAGAAGGGCATGTATTTCCTTTTAAATTGGTATGCGAAAGAGAAATTTCAATTCTGGACAGTTCTCAAAACCAGAAAAGTCAGAATCACAGACAGCTGAGCTAATTAGTAAAACAGAAATAATTATACCATCCACCCTAAAATCCATCAAAACAAATTAACACAAAAATATTACTTTGAAATAAAATGAAGATGAGACATTGAGAATAAGTCACACCTCAAAAATTAATTATGCAACAAAATGAAAGAATTATCAAAAGCTTTATGATAATTAAGGCTACACAGTTTAAGTTAACTAATTGCATCCATTCAACACACAGAGTTGAATTAAGCAAGTCCAAATGTAAACAAAATAAATGGATGCGAGAAAAAATTCCCTTCTGGACAACTTATACCTGAGATGACACAGGTTCTTTCTTTACCGATAGTGGCACAGCTACAGTAGGTTCTTCTTTAATCTGATAACAGCTGAAAAATATTGTTAAATTAGTAAGAGGCCAAATAAAAAAGCACTAGAAGAACCCAGGCATGACATCGCATTCCTCTTACAAAGTCAGCAGATCAGAACTTCAAAATTTAATACGGTGTTATTTAACACAAAAAAAGAGACACGTAGACGAAAATAATCAACTTTTTTTAAAACTAAGAAGCTACAGGACTACTGAAGGAAAGTCTACCAATCATGAACCAAGATAATGGCCAAATATTGAAATCAAGGAAGTTCTGTTCGCATCAGCTATCTGCAACATTTTAAAGAGAGGCACTAAGCCCAAGCACTGCCACTCAGACCTAACATGAGATAAACTTGAAGCATGGCTGAAGAACCTTTAACATTTCCCAGTCCCAGCACACAGCCTAATAATTGCTCTACTGCTAATTCGATCACCACGGAAATGGTCAACCAACCGCTGTTGACAAGGCGCTCGATGTTTGTTTCTTTTGTGTCTTTGCCGGCAGACTGAACGCAAAGAAATCGACGCAACACCTACCTTCCGCATGATACGAATCGCCGCAGGGTGTCAACACGTGCACAGCTGGCACAGCTCAGGAAGCTTCGATTACTCCCAACCACTTAGAGAGCAGCTTTCAACCAGGCATGGTAGAACGAGAGGGCATAGCAGGAAGTGGACCAGAATCGAAGGGAAAGTCTCTCCAAATCCCAAGTCCACTCATCAAGGCAAAGTATGCACATTTCATACTTATGCCAAGACCAAGATGCCTTCAACAGAACAGAAGCTTGCTCAGTGGAATGGGGTAAAAATTCAAACAAACTGGTGCTTGAATCAACCAGGGAAATAACAGACATGATTTTTTTTTTATTTCACCCTAACCAACCTGTGTGGCAAGGATAGGAAGTGAAATAGTGTATAGTGTTGACTTGTAGTGGTAAAACGCAATACAGCTTGACTGAGCCAAGAACCTAGGAAACATTCTAATGAGCCAAGAGTCATAGTCATAACTTTCAAAATGGGTCATTGAGATCACACCAAATGTCAACAGAATCCCTCAGAAGCTTTCAAGGGGATACCCAAACAACTATATAGCAATTTGGCACTATCAAACTTTTATCATGGTGGTTTTATGACCTTGCTAGAAGGCTATGTTACTTATTTATACAAATACTGAACTTCAATATTACTTACATAAATGTTCCCCACAAAATTTAATGTATCAAGTATTGCTCTACAGTTGTGCACATCCAAATAAAACAGCTTAGATGAAAAAACAAAAACAAAGGTATGGTGGGGCATTGCACAGGACTGTAAAAGCAAATCCAGAGACTGATTAATTACGGTTCAGGAATACAAAGAGTACTGGGCTACTGAGACTTTTCAAAAGTATGTCTGGCACATATGAAGAAAGCTTTGGGGGTAAGTTGATTGCATCTTTAATGACCCACTCCTAATGGTTTGACACACACTTGGCTCAAATCCTAGGGTACGCACGCAACGGAAAAGATTCTAGACGACTTCCCGCTGGAGTTTCAAACGATGTGTTTTCAGGCATGATAGTAAGTATACTTAATTATGGTTTTCGCAAGAAGTATCCTGGAAGTTTTCCAGAAATCTACACGGGTATCAGGGCATTCATCAGTCAACATTACAAAAGAATTGTTTATTATACGGCTCTAACGAATTACAAGAAAAACAAGCTTTACATACAATGCGTGGAAGACAGCCTACGCAAAAACTAATGATGCTGGGATACAAAATGATTAGTGAGACGGATCGCAAAGAAAGCAAAGTTCATTTCTGCTAAGCAATGCACACGGATTGCTGAATGCAGTTTTGTTTACTAACCCTAAACTTTAATTGAAGGAAATTCTTTGTAGCCAAATTCTCTTGTCAAGTCAATAAAAAAATAATACATCATATGATTGAACTGTTGATAAACTTTACATAGGGGACAATCAATATTCATGCTAACGCAATTGTTTATAGACGCATTTATAAATCGCAGAGAGGGATTCGCAGTTCACCCAAGGTATGACATAGCTGCGCCAGTTTCTCCAATCGCAAGTTCACGAACTAAATGCAAATGTCTTCAATATAAATAAAGCATATCTAAGAAAACACCTTACATTCGAAATAAACAAAGAAAGATATCCTGGCACAAGATTCGCTGTCCACGGTGAGTGCCGATTCTCGATTCCCGATTCTCGCACCTACGCCTGCCAGGCAGACAATCTTGCCAGCCTTGCCAGCGTCGCACGCAATCATCGAGACGCTTAGTATCGTCGCGGCTGCATATCAGGGTAGCTACGGCATACAGACACAACGCAGAGTGTTAACGCAGTTAATATTTGGAGGACACCAAGAGAAGGCAAAGCCAGTTTGTGGAACACAATCAATCCGTCAGTTTTGATTGCAGAATCATCATTTATAGGAAAATAAATAAATGATCCAAGTAAAATATCTTCCTTTGTTCCACTGAACTGGACTTTGTGAAAGAACAGGAGAGAGAAATATTTCAGGATAGACTTGGGCAAAGTGTCCATGCCCCCCTCACCCCTTCCCCTCCCAAACTTGGTTTCACGAGCAGGCTTCTTTTGTTGGGATGACTTGACGGTTTGATAATGAATACACATGCAAAGACTACAACCTACAACCCAAACAAAGCCATAAGAGTTACCGCAAGAGCTTCGCAATATGGGGTGCCTGCATGAACGAAACAAAACCAAACTTGAACCCCAAGATTCGGTGGTGAAAAAAGACGATTTTTTCGCATCTCAAATCCTAGCGAGTAAACGCAAGCAATTAATTGAATGACTTTGATATCGCAGAAAATATGCACACGCAGCATTTTTCTAATCTCGCAATTGTAAGTACGCATAAAAACAAAAGAGGTGGATAAAGCCAAAAGTGGGATGTCTCCAAGAAGAATTTTAAAAGCGGTATGCCTCACGTCAGAAATCATCTCAAGGCAAGAAAAGAAGTGGTCCCAACAGCAGTAATATGCATTTCATTGATGTAAGATTTACCAGGGAGAAAAACAAGATTTACTGCTGGAGAATCACCTCCTTAGGAGACAGTCAAATTGAATGAGGCATGTACCACTTTTTCATCCATTTTGACCTTTCAAAGTTGGGTTTGGATACCCAATTTGACGCAGGGGAAGTTGAAGTCGCATATGTCATTCCCATCATTCTCCATACACGGAGTATGGATTCACCAAACAAGTAAGACCAACAAAAGAGAAAAAAAAGTAAAAGCATTCCATATAACCCTTGTTTAAAAGCAAAATTGCTACAGCAAATCAAAAGCAAAGCAAAAACACATGCAGACTGATATAAGAAAAGGAAGTAATAAGGATTACTCAGTAAATTATACTGTACTTTCTAAAAATTGACATGCATAAGGTATCTTCAAGTTGACCTTTACCATTGGAAATCTAGAGCCAGGGATGTCCATGTGGTCACATGGCGTTTTCCTCAAGGGAACAGGTCTTGATTGTTAACTGAAAAATTCCAAATGTGTAAGACTACTTCACAGCAAACTTCATGCAGCTCACATTTATAATATGAATTGTAACTACTACTGACAACGTAACCAGATTAATTTAAAAATTTGGTAAGACAAATTAAGTTAATAAAAAACTACAAATATAATTTGGTTTAAAGTCAAAATAAAGAAGCCACATTTTAAGACAGCATGTTCGATACTTTTAATTAAGTGTAAAGAAGGTCACTATTACAAGCAAGTTCAGCAGCAATGCAAGTATTGGACTCAATTAGACCTGGTGGATTAAAATGGGGCACGCTGAGTTAACATTTTAACTAACCATGTTAAGGTTCCAGCAACAATTATTTATTTAGAAATGGCAATTAAGTAATAAAAATTTAGCATGTGTAGACAGAATGTGACAAACTGTTCTAAAGTATTAGTGCATGGAAAAGGAAAGCTGTACAGGAAAAACTACTTTTGAAATAGGAAAAGGTAGACATGCAATAAAAATTTGAGTTTATGGAGCAAACTTCAAAACAACCTCTAAGTTCCCACGAATAGTCAAAACGTTGTAAGCTCATGGACTAAGAAAAGAATAAATTTCTGATACTGCAAGTTGACATGCAATATAAGAACCATTTCCATGCTCTGCAAACCCATAGCCAGAAGCTTATTATGCTACACTTTGGACCATTCAACATGAGAACACCACATCCAATGCATACCAACTGCACTTTCAGCAATTGGTCAACACTGTGCTGGACAGGCCATGCAAAGGCTTTGTAGATGCTGCTCACCCTGTGCTGTAGGCAGGCTGGGGAGGTGGGGTTCTGCGGCTAAACATATCTGAAGCTCCAGCCATTCGGGCGGCGCCATAGTCACGTCTGTCAAAGTTTTGAGCAGCCATGGCTGTGCGATCATAGGCATCACGAGCAGCTGGCATTTCACGAGGCACCATGTCTCGTCGCTCATAAGGCTGTCTCATGTCAGCATAAGCACTGCGGTCAGCTTCTCTATATGCTCCAGCACCATACATGTCACTGAAATAGATCAACTTGACATAAAATGCATGGCAACAGCAGGACTATAGATGTTATTTAGCTTAGAGAACTTGACTGATTTGAAAATACAAGGTTGAAACTTAAATTATAAGAAACAACAGAAATATTGAAGTAGTTACCTGTTTGGCAGAGGAACTGCACGTGCAGCATAGTCACCATATCCTCTGTCATAGTTGTCCATGCGAGCCATACCCATTCCATAGGCAGCATCGCCTCGGTCTCTTCGGTCCATGTAGTCAGCACCTGACCGGTCCATGTATGCAGCATCCCTGCGGTCATCATAGTAACCATTCCTCATGGCACCCATGGGGGCTCCTGCTGGGGGTACGGGGCCTGGTCCAGCAGGCACTGGTCCCGGTCCAGCAGGTCCAGGCCCAACAGGCCTTCGGTCAAAGTCAGGACGACCATAGGGCTCAGGACGGCCGTAGGCATCAGGGCGGCCATAACCATCAGGGCGACTGTAAGGTCCTGCCCTATCATAAGGACCAGCACGGCCCATTCCATATCCCATGCCACCACGCATGGGACCAAAGCCTCCACGTCCTCCTCGGCCTCCAAAACCCCCTCGCCTTGGACCAGGTCCACCGGGTCCGTCTCGGCCGCCTCTCTTGCCTGTAGATGCCTATTGACATGAACCACAGAAAACATAATAATAACGTAGGCCTTAACAAATATTCTGGCTAGAACTACTGTAAAGATAAATGTTACCTCAACACTAATGAGTGAGCCCATAAAGTTACAGTTGTGCAGGTTTTCAATTGCACGAGTTGCCTGTTCCTCTGTCTTCATGTGGACAAATCCATATCTGTTTAGAATGTCACATTCCGTCACAGTGCCGTACTGCTCAAACAACCGACGCAAGTCTGGGGCCTGGGCATTCTCGGGAAGGCGACCCACAAAGATTTTGGTCTTTGGAGGATTTGTTGAAGTCTTGATATCTAAGAGGAAACAAAAATAGTGCATTACTAATTTTAAGCAAGAAAATTTTAAAGGGATGTGTTGTGAGAGTTTATTGAGGGGAACATTGACAGGCACATAACCTATTTAGCAAAAGTTTTGATATGAAATTCTATCTAATCAAGTGTGTCTCAAAAATAAACTCCAGGTGAGAAGATAAAAATTTGAAGGCTGTAATCAAGGATGAAGAATAGAATGGCTATCGAAATGTGAATGTCCGGTGCAGCCCAAGGCGCAAGGCTATAAGTGACATCAGGACAGAGGTGCAGCTCTCATTTGGCCTTGTTGAACAAAGTTGGTAGACAAACATGCAGATGCCAAAGTAAATAAAATAAACAATAATAAGCGGACAATTGTTAACTCCTTGATCTTTCCTGATATAAACTAGGCTAGGTGGCTAGGGGTATGACGCCGGCTGAGTCGGCTTCGGTTTCTTCGATGTTTTACAGTAAAAACGCAAGAATAGGACAATCTAATAGCTAGACGAGATTTACATCAACAAGGAGGCCAAGGAAACGCCAGAATGGTTCAGTTTACATACCAGCCATGATGTATTTATCAGCGACTCGGTTTTCAAAGTCTTGTCTTCGTTGATTAAATCGACCCTTGAAATGGCGTCGCTTTGCTCGCTCGGATCCAAAACGAACCAACCAAGTTCTCAAGACGGCCGTCTGGCTGGCAGCGCTCACGGCGAGGGCAAAGGGAAGGGGAGAGGGGGCAGGGGAAAACACCTGACTACGCGAGTCAAACGTGGTCAAACGCGCAACTGCGCAACCTCGCGTGCTTTGCATACACTTACGTGCGTTATAACTTTACTTCGTTCTCAGTTAAATTGTGAATTTCAGCGGTCTTAAGTCAGGGTCTGTACCGATTTTTATGCGATGTCCCTTTCCCATCCATGGTGCCCGGGCACATTTGGAATAAAGACAATGGCATCATCCCCCCTCATTTGTTGAATGCGTTGACGTCGGGTTTAAATTTAAAGGAAAACATCTCTGGAAATTCCAGGGGACCCAATAGTCATGTTTATGATGCACGTTTCTCAGGAACGAGGTTGCCCGGACCAACTACAGCCCTAGGACCAACCAAGGCGTAGAGTCTTCCTGGCCGCCTGTAAGGTAGACAACCCATTCGACGCGGGTAGGTAGGCAACTCATTCGACGCCGGAAGGTAGGCAACCCATTCGACGCGGGGAGGCAGGCAACCCATACAACGCCGAGAGGTAGGCAACCCATACGACGCTGACGCTGACTGTGCTGCCGCGCGCGCCGTGCTCTCGAAGATCCTCGCCGAGTAGAAGCCGAGGCGCAGGCTCCCACCGCGGCTCTCTTGGAGTTCGGGGCGCGTAGCTGGTACCGCTGCAGATTTGCAGGGCGAGACGTCGAGGACGTCGGAGGAGTACAGGTCTGCTGGCGCTGCCGAGTCGAAGCGATTAATTTGGGCTTGAGCTCGCGACTCGGCCAGTCAGTCGGCCAGGGCTGGCCGCGGCTGGCTCGGCTGGCCAGGGACGCGTCGCCGGACTAATGACTAACGATGTCTACGTCGTGTTCGCCACACCGCCACACGTTCCCTGGGCCCTGGGCGGGGACGCGACCAATGGGGACAGCGACATGACGGAGTGACGGATGTTCATGTCACTGCCCAGGCAGTGCCCAGGCAGTGTCCGGGCCGCCGAGGCTGTGCCGTGCGTTATGCCCTGCCGGCTCTGCCCGTCGAGGCCTCGGTGGACACGGTAACCACGGCCACCCCACAGGGAGGCCCATGTGATACATGTACAGGCATTGGCTTCAATTAACATTGTGAACCCAGTCCACAGGACATCGATCACTTTGCCTCGCACACTCGAATCTAATGCACTCGAAACGAAGCCCCCCGCCCACCCGTCGCCTGTCTCGCCGCATCCACCGCAAAGCAGGGCGGCGGCGCCACCTTGCCGCCACCTTGGAGCACCTTGGCGACGTCGCGACGCGTGACCACGACGTGACCGCGGGACGCGTGACGCGGCGTGACCGCAAAGCGGGCCGACCACAGACACGCGCTGTCCCTGTCTGTCCTGTGCGGCGAAGCGACGGGGTGACAAGGCGACGGCGCGACAGCCACGCGGTCACGCCAATCTCGCCTCGCCGAAATTAGCCGTCACTTTTTTCCACAAAAATAAAGACCATCCACAGCTTTTCAGCGACGGCGATGGGCCTTGGGGTTCCAGGTTCGTGGTTCGAGGAGCTGCGCCTCGGCGGGAAGGGAGGAAGAAGGGCGCGGAGTGGAGTGGCTTGCGGGGCGGAGCGGGCCGGAGCGGGGCGCAGAAGCAAGGTGACTCGCGGAGCACACTGTGTGCGCGTGCGCCTGCCCGCGGTCAGCTTCGGTGCACCGTGCCACCCCACCATCAATTTGCAACACACAGGCGGCGTCCCTGCCAGGAAGGGTTCGATTCGATCGCCTGGAAAACGGATTTCAAACTCGCTCTCATCACTTTGTCTCTCTTGCACCAGGCCAGTTCGCAATTAGCCTGCTGGGGCTGGGGCGGTCAGCGCGGTCGATGTGACAAGGAGACGGCCGGGGCCGGGTCATGGGGTGGTTGACGGGCCGGGCTGGGCCGGGCTGCGGGGCTTGAGCATTCTTTGTGGTCGGGGAGGCGTCAACGCGTCGCTGCAAGAAAGGACGCCGACGGTGATGACGGCGGCACGCCACGGCTCCGTGTGCGGCTCGCCAGACCGCCAGACCGCGACGGCGGCGGCGACGACGCGTGTGCGTGGGGCTGTACCATGGGCTGTACCATGGGCTGTACTTACGCACGAGGCGGGCAGCCCAAGCAGTCGGAGCCAGGGCCGACAAGCCCGGGCAAACCTGAGCTCGAACGAACAACAAATCACTGGCTGCGTTCCGTTCGCTCGAAAACACCTACTACTGCTGCTGGGACGGAGATGACTCGTTCGCTGGTTCGCAGCCACCTGAATGCCACCTGTGAGGTTGGCAACCCTTACAAATGACCTCCCCGCTCTCCGCGCGGACTGCATGCTCCTGCAGGGCCCCGCAGGCCCAGCCTGCTGCAGCAAAACCTTTTCGCGGAAAGCGGCTCGGCTCAGGACTAATCAAAAAGAAATAAAGCACGCCAACACTCGGTCGTTTCCGGTGGCTTCCAAGTTCTGCGTACGGGCACCCGTCGAAAATGGGAAAATGTCTCCCGAGAATTTCGTTATTGCCAGTACCCTGGCGGTACCCTGGTACCCGTCATCTCTCTGATGGTGCCCCCTCCCCCTTTCCGTGGACCACACGTGGCATCGGGGACCTCACGCCTCTGAGCCCCCCTCCCCCTCCGACTCTCCGGTCTTTGTTTGTCGGTGTGTTTGCCGTGGCTACCGGAATTCGTCGGAGAGGCTCTGAGAGGCGAGGGCTTCGGGGTGGGGTATCTCGGTACCTCGGGGTGGAGGGGCCTTACTATCTTTTTTCGTCGAGGGTTGGGGCGTGGAGTCATCGAGTCATCGCGTCGTGGCGGCGCGGCGGCTGCGGCCCTCCATCCCGACAGGTAGCGTCGTCTCGGTTGGAGCGTTGGAGCCGTTGGAGCAGCAGCCAGGACCGTGGAAGGACCGTGGCAGGACGGCGGGCAGAGCAGCGCAGTGCCCCTCACTCACAAGTTCTCGTTACTCACTTCCGCCCTGAAAAAAGACATCCCCGCCGGTGCTTCTCGGACGGAGGGCCGTCGAGCGCGTCCCTCCTGCCGGCCAGCGGCCCCGCACCACCCGCACCCTGCACTGCGGGACGGGCGAGGGGCGCGGGGCGCAGGACTCACTGAGCCTCCGAGTGGACACCGGTGGACACGGACACCGAAGACGGGCGCGGAATTTCAGGCAGAGTCGGGGCACGCCGGCGACGCGAGATGCCCCGCATGGCACGACACGGCATGGCGCGGGTGCTTTCGGCTTTCGGCCCTGAAGGCCCTGGTGGTTGTGAGCCGCCGCCGGGCAACCGCCGGGCAGACGAGACGCGCCGCCGCAGCAATGTTAATTGGCGCGCGTGCCATCCACGCATGCGCAGGGCAGCACGCACGCAGGACATCCTCCCGGCCGCCAAGACTGCATGCCATGCGCCATGCGCCGACATGGAGACATGGGGACGCCGGGCCGCTTCCTTGTTGTGGGTCTCAAAGGCAGCCGCTTCGTGCCGACACGCGGAGCTGGCCGGCCGGCGGGGTGCGCGTCGTCGTCGTGGTTGCCTTGCACTGCAGGGCGTGGGTGGGCGTCACGGCAGCCCCGCGATCGCTGCCCCGAATCAATGAGACCAGGTCGGGCGGTGGCTCATCGACAATGGTCTTTGCGAGCGATGGAGGCGACGCGAGCGATGCACTCGGTTTGGGAGGTCGGAGGCCCAGTGCAGCGCAGCAGCGCCCGATGCCACCCAGAGATTAGTGGCGTCGAAGCCAGGCGAAGCGCCGAGCGGCGAGGCGCGCGTCTCGAGACAAAGGGTTAGAGGGAAGGGAGGGGGGCTGGAGGCGAGGCGCCACCCAGTGGGAAGGAAGGCACGCCGGCGGTTGACAACGAGGGGCCCAGCGCGCCCAGCGGCAGCCGGCTCATTCCTCGCTCCTTCTCTCTCGCACCCCTACGGGGACACTGTCTTCTGGGCTGGCGACGCCGGTCCTCGCCGGTCCAGGCATGCACCACGGCTGCAGGCTGCAGTGCAATAAGTACTGTAGAGTGCACTGGTAGGCTGGGTGAGCTGTCTTCGTTGGCCGCACGGCTGGAGACGAAAGAGTGAGAGAGAGACAGAAGGGTAATAGCGACTTCCAAAGCCCGGTTGCGGGTGGACGGCGGAGACCGCTCGCTCGGCCTCTCCGGCTGCAGCAGAAGGTGGCAGCGGAAGGCAGCAGGCAGGGGAAGGCCCGCGCACTGATTACGTATTGGAAGCGCAGCAACGTGATCTCATTTGCGTCTCTGTCTGTCTCTCTCTCTCTCTCTGGATACCCGCCCGCACCGTCCCGCACCTTCCGAGCCAAGTCACCGCGCCGCCTGGATTTATTGAGTGTGGTCAATTCCAGTAGCCGGCGGTCCGGGCGCGGGGGGAGGGGGGGGGAGTGGGGAGGGGGCTCCATCACGCGGCTGCGGCTAGGTGTTGGGTCGTATAATGAGTTAGTCGAGGTGTCCGTGGTCCCCGCCGTCCCCGCCGTCCCGTCCCCGCATCCTGTCCAGGCCCCTTCGGGTCCCTCTCATCTCCCAGCTCGAGGGGCCGCGACGTGTTGCGTCCCGGCGGCGCGGCGTAGACAAAGGGGGTACCGACACGTACACGGTAGCCCGACTACCCCGCCGCGCTTTTATCCCCTTCAATCTCAGTGGCCACTCGAATCAGACACGCTGCGGCACGGCCTGGGCAGGGCACGGCCCTGGAGAGCGCCGAGCACGCCGTCGAGGCCGCCGCGCCGGGTAGGCAACAGGCAACGTGGCGGCGGCGTGGCGGCTCGCGAAAGGAACAGCAAAGTGGCGAAGGGCAGGGTGAAGGGGAGGGTGGAGGGGAGGGGGCAGTTGGCCGCTTGATGGACCTCTTCCCCTGCAAGCCGCCCAACTCGGCCTGCCCTTAGAGGGCCCTCAGGGCCAGGCCGGGGCTACATATCCTTGCAGCGTGCTAACGTTCTTTAATTTCACTTTCTATCGAGCACTTCCTCGAGCAGCGGCCACAGGCAGCGGCCGGCCTCCAGCCTCCCTTTGATG